TAACCATGCCCCTAATCTTCATTGCAAACACATTTGATCGTAATTCCTTCAAAAACTTCCTGAATTTCAGCATTTATGTTACTTATACTGCAACAGTAGAATGTGCAATGCCCTGACTTATACTTCATCATAATGATGAGTTTCTTGCAGCGGATTCTGCAGGGTAGTGTATGAGCTGGGAGGACCCCTGTGTTGGTTGTGTGAGCATACTCAAAGGGAAATTTTGGAATCTGAGTTGAATAAAATACATTAACCAAAACAATAAAAAAGAATTTTTGTAAAAACTACTTCAGGTGGCAACTCTCAAGGAAAAGACAAAAAAAGAATAGTAAAATCCCCTGTCATCTGTTTTAAAAGTCCTTAAAATTCCTGGGGAATAATAGCTTGACAATTAAAATAAATATCAGTAAACTAGGATATTAAACACAATTGCTTGGTTAGGCAGTTATAGAAAATAATATAAATTGATAAGAAAGTTAAAAAGTGAGTATAGTCATTTTCTCCTTTATGACTCTGTATATCCTTTGTCAAGATGCTCTTCAAGACACTTGTCAAGATGTCAAGAATGCTCTTCTACAACTTATTATTGGGAAACTTCAGCCTTTCAGAAAAAAAGCCCACACAATACAGTAACTGTGTCTGGATTTGGTGGTTCACATGTGAATCCCTCACATTTACTTGATATTAACTGCCTTAAAAAATACTCAAATGAGTTTTAAATGGTTGCATGGAATGTATCAAAGAGTAAGATTTGACTTGAGTTTGAAACTCAAGGGCAAAGTTTTCTGGATGGGCTGTTAACTTTTGTGGAGAAAAGAAATTCTGCCACTTCCAGCTTAACAGAGTGTTTGGAAAGCAGACACTACACACATGAAGCAATAATCAAAGACTTGCAGGAGGATTAGACAATCCACTTTTTCATAAAATGATTGGCTGTTAAACATTTAAAACACACTGTTTATTGGTTACCAAAGGAACCAGTAAAACAAATGGCAAAACTAAATGTCAGACTAAATGTTTACATGGAAAATGATGCTTTCTTTTGAATCTAAAAGGTTGGGAGTGCCACAGAGACGTCACTAGTGTAGTATACCTACTGCCAAAGGATTACAAATGTGCACACATTTCAGTGTCTGTTTTCAGCTCTTACATGTAAATCACACACCACATCTGATAAAACAAAGCAATTGCTTTTAATTAAGTAAAATAAATTAAGAGTTCTTCAGCAACTTTCAAAACTGACTGAAGTCACAAAATGATCTGAACTCTATCTCATTGACAAAATAGGAAATATATTGGCTTCAGGTTAATTACCCCAGATTGCTACTAGAGTGACAGGGTAAAACGTCTAGTCTTGTAATCCTCCTCTCAAGAGTTATACCAAGACATGCTAAAAAAAGGTGGGGGTGGTGCGAGGAATGATCCGAACTATTGCATAATAACCTCCCTCTAATTAATGATTTCCATGGTGGAGTCCTATTTTCTGATTAGAATTATGATCTCAGAACTCATCAAAATGCATATACATATTACGCATAAAGTTTCTATGCAGACCTATATTTAGTTTGCGAGCTCTAAGGAGATTAGTTGCTTAGAAGGATAACTTATTTACTGCATACTAGACTAAATATTTTCTTTTCTTCTGGGAAAATGTATTAAGTTACACTTTCTAAAACAATCTGTCTGCAGGCTGTACCATAAATGTGGGCACCTCATAGTCAACACCACAAGAACACAGATGTCTTTTACAGCTAATTCAACTGGAAACTTAACAGTTAGCATACTATAAGCTCTCCAGATACATTCTCTCTCTCTCTCTCTCTCACTTGCTCTCACTATAGCAATGCAGAATGAACAGACGGAACAGACATAGGTTGCTGCCAAAGAAGTTGTGTGAATCACACAGTTCCTGAAAACATAAAATTAAACTGTTTAAAGCTTCTTTTTAAATATTTGCTGCAAGAGACCAGAATCTCTACAGTGCTACGGAAGCCATGAAGCCTTCTTGTGAAAGCACTATTCACTATTATACGTGAATCTGGTAATTAAATGAGACCATCTTAGCCACTAATATACAAAACATACTCTGTTGTGAAACATACATTTTAATCAGATGTCTGCCTCCTGTTCAAATTTACTGGAAAACTGTTTGGCAATCAAACTGGAAAAAGGACACATGGTTTTCAGCACTATTTTGCAAACAGAAATATTGAAGATTATAACTGCTTTTATTGAGTCGCACACTCCTAAAGATACTTTAAGTGAAAAAAAAGAGAAAGCCACAGTGTTCTTGGCTAGACTAAAATGTTTATCTTCTTTTGAAGAAGGAAAAGCAGGAGCTTTTGTAGAAGATAAAAGTTGCAGTCCTGAAGAGGAAACTCCATTTCCATCATTAACACAAGAAATTATAATTTAGGACCTGAAGGTATTCTTCCCTGCTCTTAATGTCCTTAATAGATTTTTGTAATCATTAACACAGTATCAGAATTTTTCTCCATGCTTAGAACAGCATAGAAGGTTTGTTACATGTGGAACTCAACTAGACCTAGTTATAAATAACATTATATTTTCTGACTATCAGAGAAACAAAACGGATGTGAAGGGGAGCTTTTAAGTTTTGATAAAATCTCTATGTTCAGAATCCTATGCTTTAAACTATTGACTTGAACATGAAACTATCACTTAGATTACTTTCAGATCATGTCTTGTCATTATAAACTTACTGACTACAGTGGCTTTACTCCTGGCTCATAATAACTGAAGCGGAAAGACAATTTCAGACTATAATTTGAATCCAACAATGTTGACAGAAATATCTTAAGATGTACTATTTTTAATTGTCCATAGTCAAATTTCTCATTACTCATATACACATACTTTAGATTGGAATTATACAAGACTAACACATAGCTGTATCTTTTTCTGCTAGTGTTGTGAAATAACCAATAAACCATTGCCTCCATGTTTAGTTAAATCTCAATTTCAAATTTTATCTTCATGATTTAATTTTGAATTAAACACACTGGATTCCACTTAGTCATACTGACACGGATCATACAGATGCAAGACACTGAAAAAATGATGTGGGTATTACAAAATGTTGGTTGCATTCACTTTCTAACTGTCAATAGATAAGAATTCGCCAGCTGAGCTAGAAACACATTAAACTGCAAGTGTGTCTGCCTTTCAAAGGAAATACTTACAGAAAAACGGAGCAATGGGAATGACTCTCGACTAAGCTTCTAGTTATTATATCAACTCTCATTTTAACAGAACAATCTTATAGAACATGTAGGCACACTGAAGCTTCAGAGAGGAAAGCTTACCCTTTCCTAATACTGTAAGATACCATAAAGTTACATATTCAGTTGAATATGAATATTGTTCTGAAAATGATTTCTTCATTGCAGCTGAGCTCATTGCAATATATACAGCTGAGCTCATTGAAATATAAAGCCATACTGCTGGCATCGCTCAGGACAGTTTCAAGGTTCTTGTTTCCAAATTAGGACTGTATTTTTAATTGCCTTTCATGACAGCTCTAATAAAGTCTAAGCCCTCAATTAAGAATTACATAATATTAGTGATGTTCACAAACTATGTAGCTAAATCCAAAGTAAGAACTTTTATAATCTTCCTAATGAAATGTTAGCATCAAAACCTCAGTGTAAAGCATTTAAATGTAATACCAAAGTAAAAAGTCAAAAAGACCACCCAAATGTCTGCTTCAAATACTTAAGATATCACCATATGAGATGCAATGTCCTAGCTTTAACTTTCAAGTTTAAAAACTCTTCATAAAAATCAAAGAAATCAAAATCGCAAAAAATCAAATTTTCCATATCTGTAAGAAAGTGTTTATTAGTTAACAACTACTTTTCAACTTACCTAATTTAAAAATGATTTCCTCCCTGTCAACTATCTCCTTACCTTTTATTCAACAAGTAATCGTACTGAGCTTTGGGGGGCAGGTGGAAAAAGGAATTCCTGAAGAAATATTCTTATTTCTGAAGAAATATTTCTTCCCTCTAACAGCACAACTTCCACCCTAAAATATCACTATTTACCCTAACCAGAGATTAACAATATAGTGCCAAAGTTCATGTCATTGATTTTTTTTTCTGAATATGTCCTTTTTTGAAGAAAAATATGTTTACTAGCAAAACAGGACAATGTCACTACCAGTAGCAGTCTCTGCAGCTTGTTCAAAAGTAAAGGTGTTCCACACAACTGAATAACCAGGCATCTTACTGTGCCCTATGAAGAAATGTTAATCTGTATGCACAATGCAGGGGAACATAGCTTCTTTTAATGGTACTTACTAAAATAGTCAGTCTTGACATAATCTGAACTATCAAAGAAACTATAATTATGAAAGATTAGAAAAGGTGATACATCCACACTCAAGATTCATTTGTAAACCTAGTATTGCATTGAGAAGCTGCTCAAGGGAATGTCAAAAAGTAATGAATCTAACTGAAACACTGAAAAAAAAGGAATAAATATGAGATTAAATTTGGCTTCTCTAAAATATTTCACTGTCTCTAAAAAACTGTACAAATTCAAACACTTCCCCCCACTCCACCAATATGTTACTGTAGTGTTGTTCACCAAATGCTTTTCTTGCACACCAGCTTGTTCGTGAGAGCTGAGCTGCACACAAAGTCTTTTTATTTGGTGGTTCAGTCACTAGTAGAGGTGGACAAGTTTTGAAGGATTTGCTTTCCAAACAACTGCTCCCACATCACAAACCCTCATCTTTACGACTCTCAGAGGAGTGGTGCTGTTCCAACCAAGGATGTTCCGAAACCAGGCATATGCATGAAGAAGCACTGTTTCTTTGACAATACAAGAAATTCCTAACTGCAGCAAAATCACATTTTTGAAACTGATCCCTGCAAAATTCATTTCATGTAAAATGGGTTTCTCTATGAATTTCAATGAAGGATTTTTGTAACTAGAATTTTCTTCTTACTCAAAATTTCAAGTAAATGTTATACCTGTGAGATCTTCTTTGGAGGAAACCAGTCGAGGAGAGCTATTGCCTGGCTCAATTCTTAATGATAATCTGTACATGAAAGATTTTAAACAATTTAACATTAAAACATCTTAACAAAAGCAGAAAGGAACTGAAGATGGTAATTACAGTGACAATGGTACACAAGAAGTTTACTTCTTTGGAAGTGTAGTTATTTATCTCAATATGTAATAAAACAAGCGTGTCAGATCCAAGAAACGAATCGGATGGAAAGTCTATAAAAACAGACATTGAAAATGGTATTTATTATTTTCTACCAGTAAAAAAGTGTAAGTTAGTATCTTTCACCTGAAAAAAAAAATTAGTAAATTTGGATGGAAACATAATAAACCTTTTTTTGTCTCTGTGCATGAAAAGCTGGATTAATTCTGTTATCTTGAGGAATTGTACAATCAGAAATAGCTTATTAGAAATACTAGTTACTATGACTTATAGAAAGGGAAGATAATGGGGAAAGGTAAACAATGCTTAATAGCAAGTTCTTAATAGTTAAAAAGATTATTGAAAGAAAAATGGAGTATTATATATCCCTCTGCCTCACTCCATGTCTTTTATGCTGCACTTACTGTTTCCTTATCTAAGCACTGCAATGTATGTCTTGATCTTCCACTGCATATGACTTCTGCCACCTCTCAAGTTTAGGTACACTCTTAATTTCACAGTCACAGGTCCTCTGTTCTGTACTGGTTTAAGAGGAAAAGCATGCATGACTAATGTGTTACGTAAATTTGAATGGAAGAGGCAAAGAATAAAAGGAAATAATGGCTGTCTCTGCATAGTGAGTGGTATACAGCCATACAAGTTGTTTCAAACTACAGACTGTTAAACTCACACTGTATACAAATACCATTGAAAATTTTTACATCGTTAATTAAAAAAACATAGATTAGGGGAGGTGAATCTTCTGACAGGTAATGAATTACTTCTTTTCAGTGAAGGTGACAATCATCATCTTGCATTCCATTCTCCCCTAGAAGCCAATAACGAACAAGTTACAGTAACATAATTCAGAGTATGGTTCAAATTTTTATCATATGGGATATTCCTTCCAGTATGGAGAAATGGCAAGAGAATTTACTGGAGTTTTTTTCCTGGAAATAGGGCTGTAGTGTGTGACATTCCAAGATTGCAGAAATGTTTCAGTTGAGAGTATTTTTGCGCAGAAGTTGGTTTTTTGTTTTTGGGTGNTTTTTTGTTTTTGGGTGGTTTTTTTTTTTTTTTTTTTTTTTTGGTCTTTTGCTATACTGTGCTATTTATTAATGTTGGGAAATGTGGGTATTGCATTGACTCAGAATGGAAGAACTTTCATTTTGTTTCACATAATTGTTGTTCTCCAAACAGAGGCAAATACAATTTATCTCCTTCTAATCTTTTTCTGCTGCACAGCTCATAATTTCTCTTTTTTCAGTTTCTCTGTCCAAGGGATCTGTCATCTCTGTTTCACTACAGGTGATAAGTGCATGCTCTTCTTTAACTATTTATTAGCATTATTTATTTGAATTCCGTGTGTCTATTCTCAGACTTGTTACTTAGTCTGAAGTTTGCTCCTTCTCTTTTAGTTTCTGCCAGCTTTGAGGAATTCGTCTTTGAAGTTTTTTACTTACTTTTTATCAAAATAAAAATAAAAATATCCCTTCTATAATTTCATTTACAGAATCAGATATTCTTCAGTGTAATTTTGACAGGACTATCTCATACATTTAAGACACCACGTATCTGTCCAACTTGCATTATGCATTAACTTCATTAAATTTCTATAAATCAAGTTTCAAGTCCTGATATACTTCTCATATTTGAAATACAGCACAGGTGAAATACTGTTCACAGTTCTTTAGATACGAGGAAAGTGCCAAATTCAGACACAATTTAAATAAAGTCAAATTTATTTTGAATGGCACTACTGAAAGGATGTGTTGCTGCTTTCTGCAAAATGGTAGAAGGGAAGAGAAAGGTTTTTTAATTGAACAAAGTAAGACTTGCCTGACGGTATCTTTGAAGACTGGTGATTGTCAGTGATTCCCTGGGATAATGATGTTTAGTAACATTTTAGTATAATTGGAAGGAATTCTGAACTTTTGGGTCCTTAGTTCTGTAATAGCAGATGTTTTAATTTCTCCACTTGTGCAGAGAAGAGCATATGGGGTCAATAAAACAAATCTATTAGTTTTAGGATATGACATCACTGTCAGAAGTTTTCGAAGAGTTCCTACTTACTGACAAGCAGGAACTTCACACAAGCAATTGGACTGGCACAAAAAAAAAAAGTTGTTTATAGTTTATAGAACTGTTAAATTTTCCTTTCCAGTGTAATTGAGGTTCTCATTTGGCAAAATGTGTGTTGGGATCTTGCCAATACATTTTATGTAGTTATGAAAGCTTCTCCTTTTGACAGTCTGTACTGATATAGGTGTACTCTTTCTACCAAGGATCAAACACAGATCTCTCCAGAGTATTCTAATGCTGTTCCTGGCTCAACAAGAGAGGTCACTGGAAAGAGAGAGGAGATGAGATTCTTTCCCACTGTAAAAACGTAGTGCTCTGCCTTTTTCAGGCTTACAGCTTCTTCTGGCACAGTATCAGAAAATGCTAGGAAAGACCACTAGGAGGAACAGACAGGAAAATATACAATTAATGTTCACAACAAAATTCACAAAATTCCTTCAAATAAAAAGACAGAAGAGCAAGGGGAGTGGTCTTTATGGACAGATGCATTTAAAGCCTTCCTCCTGATAAACACAGTAGAATAAAGTCAAGGTTTTTTAATACAGAGCAATGCTTATAAGCTTCTGTGAAACTTACTACACTAACTAACAAACATTTTGCCTTTTTCAAAAACTTTTATAACTAAGCATGGTGTAGTCAAGTTTAGGAAAAAATATTGTAAATTTGATCAAGATATTCATTCTCACAAATAAGTGAATCATGAGTACTGCATAATCTTATGCAGTCTCATGCAACACATCAAATAACTTTCAGGATTATTAGCAAGAGTTATCCATTATCAATGGAGTTAAAATAGCTTTCAAAAATTTAAGTGAGAAATATGACTTTCGGTTTCTCCAACTGTTATGTCACGGTACTATATATTTATAGAAACCATTTGTTTAATCTATTTCAAAAAAAGAAAAAAAGAATTAATGAAAATTATTGTATATATAATGTCAACATTGGTGAATTACCAGGTAAAATTAAGCAACATGACCAGTTTCTTGCATCCAGTCCAAGGCTGTAAAGCCTGTATAAATTACAATGTTTAACTTTCTCAATTGTTACTTAGTTTAACTTTGCTCTATGTTCTTTATTTTTATGAAGCACAGAATATGTTGAAAATAGGTAAATAACAATAATTTATTAAATCCTAATACTCAGATACACTTAACGCAAATCTTGGACTATCTGATATTTTTACAAAACTGCGCGTAATGCAGCTGTTCAATATACTTTATGCCTCTCCATTTGTGAAACACAATGTTGTAAAGAACTTGGATGGAAGATGGAAAAAAAAGAATACCAGTGCCATATTTGATTGAGTTGAGCTTCATTTTTTCTGAGACAAGGTTCTCAACTGAAATATTCAGTAAAACTGGTATTAAGGARTTTCATGACCAACTTTCCTCTTTCAAACATCTTGCTTACCAACATTATATTAACAAACCTCTAGCTGCCTTGATTACTTTGACTTTTTGCTTGCCTAAATAGAGGTATTATGTTTGTCAGTCTCTAATTATATAGCATCACATCTGCCTTGGTTGAGTTATTTAAAACCTTGGCTACCAGACCTGTGTTTTTATGTGCTAGTTCTTTCAGAATTATTGGCTAGGGATTAACATCTCCTCTAACTGGAGCATATCCAAATATTGACTAATGTGCTCTGTACTTTCTATTCCATATCACTGCATTGGTTGTGTCTTAATGTAAGACTTTAACCTTAATGTAATAGAACAAGGACTAGATTTTCACCTCCTTTTGCCTTTAAATATTGCATTTGAGAAAACAGGTTGGAATCATAAAGGACTCTAGTCATGCTGAATTTTATTAGGAGTCTTGACATCATCTTGATACTATCAACTACAAGACAAAAAGTTTTAGGAACTTCACGCAACCCCCAAAATCCTTTCTATCAAAGGCTTTTTGTTCATGTTTTAATCAAACTAACAGACAAGTGATATTTCTATTATGTTCCCTAAATGTGAGGAAAACAATGGTACTTACTTATAATTATCATCTTCCACAAATTTCTGAAGTTCTTCAATATAACGGACGGACTTTAAATATTTCTGCACATGCGGTAATGTTGTAAGATGATCTGTAGAATATTAAAAAGATAAAAAGAATAGTCACATCATCAAAAACAAATGAAATCATCAAAAATTATTTACTAGTGTCCAACTCTTTTTGGCTGTGTTGCTTTTACATGGAGCAGAAATCTGTTATCAGATTGTAATAATGAAATTTCAGTTAAGACTGAAAATGTGTAAAAAAAAAAAAATACCAACCATAGTTACAAGAGACTTGCAGATCAGCTATTATTCGGAGAATATTGTTCATTTGGTTGGATCTTTGTTCATTCTCCATGATGCTGCCTGAAGCAGGATATGCAGAATCAATGTAGATTAAATCTAAGAGATAAATACCTGAAACAAACAAACAAACCCACCAGTTGACCTAGTGTTCATATAGAAAGAGTTACAACATTGTCAATAAATAGAACAGCCAGGAACTACTGACCATCGTTTTGAGCTGGTCCTATAAAAAAAAGGAGATTTTGGATCTTGTATGTTTAACTCTTACTTAGAACTTAAATTCTATGACTCCTCTTTAAAAAATGTAATAGGTTTTGATCATGCACATTGATAATAGGCTGATATCTACTATGAAGCATTTGCAGAACAATAACAGTGACACTAAAAAGATTAACAGCTGCCATGACCTACTGATGACAGTAATCTCCATGAAGCCGTGAGCAAGTACAACAGTATTTGGCCACAATGCACAGTTTTGCACTGCACTACAATGCCTTTCTATGTCTGCCACTATCTACTTCCATGTCTGCCACTATTTACTTCATTATAGTAATACAATATACTTCTACTGAGGATCCAGGCTGACAAAAAGGACAAAAAAAGAATTATAAAAGACAAAAAGTTTTTTTTTTTTTTTTTTTTTTGAGAAAAGTATAATAGCATGGAAACTGCATGGAAAGTTTCTGCTATGAATTTTGAAAACCTAAAATATAATGGCAAACATCTTTTAGCTCTGCAACACTCAAGAAAGCTACTCTGAAAGTATACTGCAAAGCTCATATTTACTTCATTAACTAACTGCAGGCTTTTAAATGGCTCTAAGATCTTTCTACAGCAGCATAATGGTATCTATTAAAGTAGAATTAGAATTTTACTTGGTGGCATTTTATCTTTGCATTGGCAAAAAAAAAATGCTGAATAGTGTAGATAGAAAGGGACATACAGATGTCATCTATTTCAAACATCTGTTCAAAGTAGGGCTAAACTGAAGTTGGATGACACTGCTCAGACTTACAAAGCCATGTTTAGAAATGGAGACTTTAATTTCTCAGAATAGTTTGGTCTAGTGCTTCTCCAATTTAACACCGATTATAATTTCTTTATATTCAATTGTAGCTTCCTATATTAAAACTTGTAACTTTTGCTTCTTGCCCATTTGATGCACACCTCTGAGAGAATCTGGTCTGTCTTCCCTATAACTCTCTGCACATGACAACAAAAGTGTAGTAAAGATTATAATGAAATGGACCCACAGAACTAAAGAACTGCTGCTTGTTTTGCTCCTACACAAAATTTGGAGACTAACAAACAGGAAATACCATTGCACTGATGCAAACGCACTAATACAGACTCATGCACAAAATAAAAATTTGCTATGTGATTAATGGATGATATCTATAACCTGACATAGGTTCTTCTAGAGTTTTTAAAGTACCAGTTTAAAAACAAAGTAAAATATATATATACATATATACATATATATTTATTTTTTCTCAGCTCTCATCTTTCTTTGAAGGGTTGCTCCGTCATTTAGGGTCAGATAAAAGGCTGAATTTACTTTAACATATTCCTAAAATATTTTGCATGGTACAGATAAGTCAGGGATTCTTTGTTGCATAAAAAAAAAAAAAAAAGGAACATTCTTTAGGGTAGGAAAATAATCTGTGCGGCATAAAAGTCTGCTATACTTCCATAATAAGTTTTCCATTTTCTTTTTTGGGCATGTTTATAATTGATGAAAATTTCCCCATGTTTTCTTGCCTTGCTTTGAAAAAGAACACTCTACAGCTCAAAGAAATAGCTAGTTGGCTCAGTTATACTCTTGCAGATTTATCATGTTAAACTGCCCTGATAAATTCCAACTATTTAAACAACAGGAAATACAATCTGTTAGTCAAGTGCAATTTTGTAAAAGGCAGGGAAAATCATTGCAGTGAACTGCATGCAATACATCTAAGCAACACAATCCTCCCACAGCACTTTGGGCATGCACATTAATTCAGCTCTGGAAATATATCAAGTTTGGACAGTGAAAACAAAATTCCCAAATCTGTATTTGTGGTAGCCATTGTGGTAATTTTTTTTTAGTAGGAACTGCACATCAAATCTCTTCAGATTAAAGGAAAAAAAAGACAACAAAAATGTCCTTATGTGTCCTCTAGTACAAAGTCTTACTACCATCATGTAGAACTATGAGTTAAAGATCAGTAACAATACTCGAGTGATTTAAGAAATTCTAGGTGGCTTGCTGAATTTTGCTCCTTTACAGCTTAGGAAAAAAAAAAAAAAGAAAGACTCAACAATTTTTTAAAATTTTGGCAGGTACCAAATATCTGCACGGGCAGAATTTTATTGACACCTCAAGTACACCTAATTCTTCATTATTGTACTGCTTTCATTCAGTCTTGCAATGGAACTTCATGTAGCTGAATTGGGGTATGGAAAATCTCCACTAATGCTTCTCCCCTGAGACCTTGCAAAACTTTTTCTCACTGGAGCTGGGCTTGCACCAGTTCTGTTTCTTCAGATCTCTGCCACCTTGACCAACAAACAGCTTGTTGGGCCACACTGGATTACGTTCAGCAGCATGTAGGTTGCAACTATATACTTTGTTTACTAGCCTATTGGTAACTTAGCCTATTTGTTCACATGTTCTCCAAAGTCCTTCCACAGCATAGGAAAGAAGGGGTGAAGAAATTATAAAAATTGTCAAAGAAAAATTAAAAAATGGAAAGTGCCAGTAAAAATCTAGATCAATGTTTTTCTACTATTAATTTTAATTTTTTTTTTTTTTTTGTGGCAAACAGTAGATTTTCTAAGCTAATATAGAGAAAATGATCAGAGCAATGGGATACAAAGGAAGCAAAAGGGATGGATGATTAACGCAGGTTTTGTGAGTTCCAAAGAACAGTCTAGGAAAATGTCTGGATAGATTCCAACAGAGAAATTAAACTGAATGCAGGATGTTGGGACAAAAGGAACCCTATTCTTTGTAAATAAACATCAAGCTACACCAAGTCAAATGTATTCTCCTTCCTCTCTCCCTTTTCAACAAATAAATTTTTTATTGTTGCCAGTCTTGATCTTAGTAATGCCACTTTAGACTCTTCTATAAATAGGATGTGATAAGAATAGCCAAAGAGAATCAATTTATTTCACTGAGAGGGAAGAGAATTATTCCCTCCAGTAAAAGACTTTAAGACCTGCCTCACAAAAGAGAAGCTCAAGGTTGCCACATGCCAAAGAAAACACATAGTGCTAGCTTTTCAAGCCTTGGCTTACATTTCTGCTACTGTGCACAGAAAAAGTCCTCTAAGATGTGAAGCCACCAGGATATTTTCCAAAGAGTGAGCTCATGGGCAGCTGCTTCCACAGGCAAAACATTTTCCAGCCATTCTAACTTTTCTCCATTGTTACTAAAAATCATTTCCCAGCTGGCTATATGTGGACAATACAGCATCCATTAATTTAGGGTATCATGGAAATAGTAACACAGAATAAGGAAAAGCATGTCCAAATAATATACAATTAAATGAATCAATGGAAAGTACACTGTGTAAAATGGAATGAGTTATTTTTTAAATTGGCAAAAAAGCTATAATGCCTAGCTCTTCTATTTTTCTTTTATCATAGTGATGATAGTGTTGTTCTGTATCACAGAACTTAAACAAAGCAGTAACACTACTGGCAATTCAAAGACAGGGAAACCGGGGTACAATAGGCAAGTGACCCTGAAAGGCTGCAGTCAGTGCCAACCAGATCAGAATTTTGAGTGCTCCATTCACCAGACAACTACTTTCACGACTAAACTCGATTCAAATTCTCTTTATAGAGAACTGCAGAGTTCAACAGTATGCTGGAGTCTACATACTTGTGTCTTTTGATTCACTTTTGACTAAAGTTTTCTACTATTCTCTTCATTCAATACTGAAGGCTTCTGTGAAAGGTAAAACTTGAAATGATGCAGGTAACAAATATTTACCCTCTGGATGTAATGGGTTCTTATTGTTCTTAAGAAACATGTTCTTAAGAAACATAATTCTAAACCTTCTCAAACCAATGTTAATACACTTAGTTTTGATATATATTGGTTCAAGTACACAGGTACTAAAACTTTCATAAACACCTATGGTGCATGATTTGTTCTCACCAAGAATGACATAAGATACTATGAGTGACAAAATATTTGCAGTCCAATAAATAACATGTATGAAGATATGCCAGTGGAAAAATCCGTGAAAGCATTTGCCTGGAAATCTGGAAGTATTTGCTCAGATTTTCTGCTCTGCCACCTAGGTAGACCCAGGCAAGTTACCACTATTCATGTTCAGCAAGAAAGACACCATTTCCTTCTGTAAGGAGAGCTTCATGAAAGTATGTACTATGAGCACGAAGTCTTAGTAATTTACAAAAGTAGGGTTAAATACCCTATAGAAAATTCTGTAATGAAAATAAACTAGGAAGTAACTTCCATATGACACTTTTGTTAGTCAGACACCCACTACCCCGCCGCAAAGAATAGTTAACTGAAAGAGAAGCATTTCAGATGAGTTCAGATAAGACTGGTTACTTCAATTTGTTATTCTTTCTTAATGCTTTAAGTAGAATTATAACTGTATTTGTTTGATAAATTATAGTGTTACTACAACAAAGTACAAATAAATGATAGAAAAGAAGAATAGAAGTTAATTATCACAATGAACACATTTAGTTGCCTACTAAAACACTACATCATAGCATACCCTTTGTAAGGATATGTAAGGATCTACAGCTGAGAAGCCCCTGGACACACATATGCTGCAGTAAAGCATAGATCTGAGTCTAGTACATTCATTAGCACAGGAAGCGGTATCTAAGAGATGCACACATAACAGAAGGAAACCTATGGAAAATCATTTTATTTCTTTTTTGTTGGTCCCTAAAAAATGATCTGATAGGAAAACCAGAAGAGACAAAAATATGTTTCTAATTTCTAGCCAACTATATTAATGAAAACCTTTTCCCACATATATTAGTGAGGTTGCAGCACACTAAATCAAGCAGAGAACAAAGAGAAAGCAAATTATCAACTTACTACTAACTGGTAAAAGCCCAAATCACTGCAGTCAGCA